GAACCTGGCTCAGTGCACTGCTGACCTCTTTTCAATAGGGGCCAGATTAGCGTGCAGCAGTGCTGTGTGGCTCATCGCTGCAGTGGTGGAGCGCTTTTGTCCCCGGTGGTAATTCGCTCGCTCTCAATGCCCCAAACCCTGGTATACGGTTTCAAAACAAGGCTGGATCATCACCACTTTTGAGAGTGAAAAATGTCGGTAATGCCCAGCATCCTGGTCTTTTTTTCGGAGTACGGTCTTTTGTTACAGGGCCCTGTTTCCTTTGTCCGAGTTCGGAGACCCGGCCACCCATATGAACGATACGTCTCCGATCCTGGAGTCTCCAGCAGGAAGTGGTTAAGGATGCAGATAACCAGTGAAAAATTGCGGCGATGATCATGGGGGTACAAAGGGGCTTATGATTGTAAAACAAGTGGTGTGTTGCAAGCATTTGCTGTGCTCTGGCTATGGACATACACCTGTACATATATTGGGCATGCCAGAAAGCAGTAATTGGCCAGATTTAATAGCTCGGGCAGTTCAAACTCCTGTGTCCTTCCTCCGTGGATTTTGTTAGGTACATGTACATTTATTAGCAAAGTTTCCCTCATTTTGCTGTCCTGAGATATTAAAACTGAACTTGGACTGCAGTCAGGAGGCTGGTACATCAGTTGATGAAGCATTGGTTGCATAGGAGGCTTTACAGCAAATCCCTCCTTAGACAATTTCTTTGTCAACCAAATGTTACATGTTTTGGTCCCCAGAATGCTGAAGACGTGGTGGGTGCATCTCCTAAAAGGAACTATGATGGAGAGATATTGCAGCAACAAGGTGGGCTAACATTTGGCAAAATGGTGTCACCAACTGAGTGAAGGAGTATTGGGCTGTATCTGAGCCACTCTGTTTTATGTTAAATTTGTTTGAACAAAGGAAAGTGATAGATGCTGGTTTTCAACCCATGACCAGTGGAGTACTGTGGTAGTTCTCTGTGCACTCTGATAAGTCCTATTTGAATGATCTTCTCCATTGTGAAGTCACTTCAAAGTGTCAAATTAAAATTCAAATTCTGCTCCATCAGTTATTCTTTGTTCTACAATTAATTGATTTAAACTGAGCTAATGTCTTCACAAACTTCATGGGAAATTTGGACAGTTCCTGAAGTTCTATTTTATGTGGGTTCTAATCTGAAAAGTGATCGCCTTTCATCTACAGTGAGACGTCAGGTTAAGGTCATCGAATTGTGTGACCTCCGGAAAGAGCATCAGTTGGTGGATGCTAGACTGAAGCTTGCCAACCATGACCCAGAATCCATCCATTCATCCAGTAAGTGATGGCTTTGCTCAGAGTTAGCTGAATACAATGTCCTTCTTGATCATGTTACATTATTAGGACAGTGTCACATAAGGTCATAATGGAAGCAATTTCACCGAAGCGCAGAAACTTTCTATGTAGCATTAACAGGTTGGCAGGTAGAATGCCAAGCAGCGCATATTTCTTGCAGCCGAGGTTTGGTAAACACTGGCATTTACTCAGCTATACTTTCCATTTGGCACAGCTTTATGAAGTTGGATCTTGATTCCCAGCAACCTCATAAAATGAGAGTCAATCCGAACCTTCGTTTAACATTTGGACAGTTGTTGTTACATGTAAATGTTTACTTTTGACTTGGTGGGTATTTTACATTGCAGTGTGACTGGATGTCTCCAAATTGCCTTACCTTGTGTGACAAAAGTCCAAAGTTGTGCACAGCTCAACACAATAACATACCAGCATGTTAGCTGGCATAATCACATGCACAATATGACTGCTTGTGTCAAGCCTGTCACAGGAAGTTCTAATAAGCCTTTGCTATGCTCCTTGCCCAAGTCAAATGAAATCAAACTACTTTTATAGAAACCATACAACCAATCAGAGGGTGACATACTGACACTTAGAAAACAAGATGGTGTCCTCACCAATGACGCTGATCTTCATATTCATTTAAATTATGAAATTTGAACATGATTTATTTTTCTTAGTGGCATTTTCTATGTAAATGCATAGACGACTTGCAAAACTGTTCCATCTTTGCAAACCAAGTGTGAATTGTCTGCATATCATGTTTTTTTCCTTTCCTCTTATAGTGGGTCCCATGCTGTCTGCGGACGAAACTGTATCGCTCCTGGTACAATCTGGCCTCTTTGATGTGGCCTGTGCTGTCTGCAAAACATTTCAACTTGATCTGACCCCAGTCTTTGAAGGCTTGGCAACAAAGTGAGTGGCCAAATTAATTAGTTTGATAATCTGAGTAGATACTATTGCACTTGAGATGAGAGTTTTGCAAGTTCCAACAAGCTATCAATTGGTCTAAGAGGTATAATTAAAGTGTGAAAGACTCTCATGAGCATACCAGCATGGTACCATCTAATTTATTGCCTGATTAGTTTGTATGATGTTATGTGACCTTACAAGAGCCAGTGAGAGACATTTCATATAGATCTGCTGGTTCGTTCTCGCAAATGACTCCAAGAGTGTTCAACCAATTTTAGTTGACTGCCTACCCACCAATTTTGATCGTTATGTAAAAACATGCATGTTGTGTTTTTGGCATACCAATTTTAACTGGATCTGCCTAAACCCATGGTTTCTTTAGTCTGATCAATTTTGCCAGAATTTTCAAGTAGCCTACAAAAATCTGTGCCGTCCATTGGCCCGCCAATTTCAACTGAATGTGCAGAACCTGTGTCCTGTGGTATTCTTTAATTATATGCACGGGAATAGATTTTTGAATGGGTTTTTAGTATTAAAAGCAAGACACACATTGAGAATCAACTTGTTTATGTTAAAAAAAATATACAATGTATAACAATGTGGAGAGAATTTGAATTTGAAACAATCTGAAAGTATTAGCAGTGTAGAGGATTTACACAAGAATTCTACCAAGGGTGCACTACTAACATTTCCCTGTGTACACTCCTTGAATGAAAACTTCCCAGATTAGAGTTTCGTATTCTCCTACAAATTCTGAACTGGATATAGGTGTGTCAAACTTTCGTTGAATGGTTTGAATGAGACAGCTTGGAAGTGGCTGTCCATGAATGACCTGGGAACTCTACACCCATCGAGGGAACTTGGGTAAGTTCCAGAACAATCTTTTGATTGTAGTCTTATTGCCAAAGATTTACTGCCAATGCTCATTGCTGTTTCAAAAAGAGAATTTGTTTAATTCTGTGTGTTACAGCTGAAGCAAAAAACATCAGCGTGAAAATAGTACATGGTTCATTTTCCCCATCACCAATTTGTGTGTTTTCTTTTTGTCCTGGATCTCCTATGTAGTCCTGCAGACTTGGCATGGCAACTGCTGAAACAATACCTGGAGAAGCATGACAGAGTTGGTGACCACACCCACTACAAGTGTGTGATTAATAAACTCTTGTCTCTTGGCTATCATCTGCCCACATGGCTCCTCCTAGCCTACAAGGTAGAGAGAATAGAATCATTCCTTCTCTACTGGCTTCCAAGAGTGGTATTTAGTAAAGGACTAAATATGAGTAATGTAAGGATTCCACTGTTACATTGCCAGTTTTGTCAAGCACTTCACAAGTTTTTGCACGAGTTATCACTAATGATTTCACCCGTACATCCAATATTTGGTGAAAAAATTGGAAAGGAATGCCTTTGCAATACCTTGATATGAATAGCTTGTGGCCTTTCTTGGCATACCTGTTTGTTCTTGTCAAGACTTGGTAGAGTTTGTATTACACTTGACTACAGGTTCTGCAATACTAGAGTTGATTAGAATCTTTAGTTCCTTATTTTTGATTTGATATTTCAGAAGTTGAATCCTGCCTCCTTGCTCCTCTTGTACATTACCTATGACATGCTAGAGGAAGCAACCTCTCTTGCTCTGGAATTTATTGATGCTGTCTGTGGTAAGGGGTCAGAATATTTTGGCCTGAAGGTGAGTTTGTCGTTGTTACTACCTGTGATATTTTTGTTTTGCTCTTCTTTCTTTTGTGTTATGCTTCCAGAATGTTTTAATTTTACTTCAATTCTCTATTACAGATTCAAAGGTTGTTTTATTTATTAATGAGTTTTAGTGTGCAATTATTTGTATTCAAGGTTTAACATGTACTGAGGTGTTTATAAATGACAGAGGGAACTTATCGTGCCAACACACATGCTTTATCTTAGACCATATTATTTTGGGTAAATGAAGGGATGGCAGCAATACCATTTGTGGGATATAAATAGACAAGAATTGGCTCTATTTCTAATTTGGACTGAACTTTAATACCAAAGCTGATGACTATTTGTATCAGTGATTGTCACTATTGCAAGATAAAAAAGTCAACATAACTTCACTTGCTCAAATATGATTCTTGTTTTCTTGCCAGACTTCCCTGCGAGCAACATTGCCAAGTGTCTGGCTGCCTTATCAATCCATTGATCATCTCTTGACAGCACTCAAGGATCAAACAGACCCCACCCTGAAACAGGTAGGGCTATTATCAACCACGAATACTCCTAGATCCTTCAGAATTATTCAGCTTGAATTTGGGATGATCTTAAGTAAAGTGTTTAGGGAGTTAAGGGCATTAACCACTTGCTGCCGGGTGTTATTAAAAATGCAGTGCGCACATACAGGAGATTTTCAAGATTTCCAGTTTTCGGAATTCTTCAGAAAAGTTCATCATTTCATTCAATGGACGTTTACACCCACACAAATGGGTACTCTATTAGCTGACTGGCAACCTTCGTTGACTCCTGAGTATTTTAGCCAGGCCAGCTGCTCTGTAAAGAGAGCCCAGAAGTGTGAGGTGTTGCGTAATTTCCTTTGTCCCCAGTGAATGCGAGTGGCATCTTTTCAAACGCAGCTGGATTAGCATGCAGTGGGGCTGTGTTGCTCATCAATGGGGGCCCTGGAGCACTTTTGTCTGCGATGCTAATCTGTGGGTGCGCTATGGCCAAAACAGTGGTATGCTGTTTAAAAACAGTGACAGATTACCTTCAAAATATGCAAGCCGAAAAATGATGGCAATTCCCAGCAACAGGTGTTTTGTTCCGAGTACAGTGTTTTGGTACACGGACCAGCTCTTTTGTCCCATTTCAGGCACCCTGGCTCTGCGTATAAACCCATGGTGCTCGAAACAGGGTTCCCTGGCAGCAAGTGGTTAACCTTAAAATAAATCCAGCTGCTAATGTTGTGGTATTTTGCTCAATTCAGGAATGTGAAGCCCAACCACTGTTAGGGTTGAGGGTTCAGTATCACTGGTTTATTGAAACTTTAAATAAAGAATATGCCATTGGTTTGAGAAATTTCTTCCGATCGTGAATTTTAAATTCTGTTAACCACACACCTTAGACTGGAAGGCTCTAGTTATTGCAGTGTAGCCATGCTGTGCATTCATGTCATGCATTGGGATGAAATCTGCGACACTTGATCAGTGGCTTACTGTTCGAATAATATGGATTTAGATAATACACTAGTTACTTCGTATGCTTCAAGATATCCAACTGACAACATTCAGTAGTGTGGTTTATAAATTGGTTAGGGTCCAGTTATGTGGCACTGCCAAGCAGGCAATGTTATGATTTTGAAATGTAATTGATAAGCATTATCTATTCTGTACATACCTCAAATGGCATTATTTAATATGGGAATGATGTCCCTTTGATGAGCAAATATCATATATGCTTGCAGGTTAATGTCCTGAACACAGTCGACCAATTGTTGACAGATGCTCTTCACCTGTGCATCAAGTTGAAATTGTTCTAATCACCTTGCTTCTTAGCCGTTGAGAGGATGCTTCTAGTTAAAGAAGATACACTGTGTAAACGTAGGGTTTGCCAACATTGATGCATTTGCAGGGTTCTTATCAGGGGAAATGGATGGTCACTTCAACACTTGGAGGTGCCATATTGTAGAGAGTGATTTATGAGGGTCACATGGCATGATGTAATCCTGTTACAAGTACATTGTCAATGCACATACGTGCACAAGTTGTATGCTCCAGTGCATGAATGGTTCTGGCTATGCGCAATACATGTACATTACACAGGCTGTTTTTACCAAGAAAGTATATCCTGTGTTTGGCTAGCTTCCATGCTTTGCAACTCCTGTGAAATGAGTTTCCTCACTAATATCTGTACGTTCAAAGGAAACTTTGGGTACTTGGTTTTCTTAGATATTGAGTCAGTGAAGAGCTAATTCTTGAATTTAAATTTAATCAGTCATCAATCTCTCACATTTTCCATTTTTGTCTGCTTTTGTTCCCACAAACAGCTGCATAGTGATCTGAAGGACAAGCTGAATTTGTACCATGCCAATGTGGAGGCAGTGTCCAGAGACATGATCCAGATACGATCTCTTGGAACCAATGCTAGGTGAAGCATGTATGCCATACTGAGTGTGCCACTTAGGCTGGAAGAGGCAAGATAAGGGTTGTGTCTGAATTATTGGACTCATTAAATTGATCTGTGGCTGGGCTTTTGGTAACTTGTTTTTTATAGCTAGATGTGAAAGAGGCAGGCCACATGTAGCTTGGTTACTCATGAGGTAACAAAAAAAATCATAGGCACATGCTTGCTTTTTTTCTGGCATTTACAAAAATAATGTGTCAGACATGGGCACACAGTCTTTTTGAATAAAGGTTTCCTTTGCATCATTGGCTTCAGTCTTGAGTCTGTTCAATGAAGACCCTCAAGCTCAGCGCAGACTGACTGTGTAGATGGAGATGAAAATGCAATGGTAACTAAGCATAGATTTGGATCAATAAAAGGCCATAACCATGACCACGCTTATCCAGCCAGTACTTCAAAATGATACTTTTTGATGGCCATCAAACGTCTGTTCCAAACAGAGGGTGTCCTTTTTCATTCTTTTCTGTTGAGGTAGTTTCTTTTGTGTAGTTCATGTCAGGTTTGACTGATTGAAATCTGAAATTCATTTCAATCTTGTGTGGAAGACCTTCTAGTCCACAGGAGTGTTCAGTTCAGTGCCTTAGCACTGAAAAACAATTCTGGCCCTGAATACTAACAAAGTTTACAAATGCCTCACAGCCATATGACTGTAGCCGTGGCAACCACTACCGGTGGTTCTGGATGGGAAGATCACAACACATCTGAAGTTTGTTTTGTGTCCTAAGTACCAACCTTGGCATATGGTCATATCTTTCCTGAGAAGCTCAGCATATTACACAGTATGTATATTCCATTTACATTATGCAGTTAAAGTGGAATTTGTTTTCTGTTTAAACATTGGAACAGTCTGACCGTGTGAATTTCTTAAGTTAATTTCATTCTAACCAGAGATAACCCTGAGTCCCAACAGTATAAGTATTGTAATTGGCAACCTTTTTGGTTTTTGTAAAATAAATTGTTTGGACATAGAACGTTGATTTGTGTTTGTTTCTTAAAGTGTCAAATATTGATAAATGGCATTGAGTTGGCAAAATGGTCATCACTTTCTGATAGGTTCTTTGGATGGACAAGAGATTGGGCACTGTTACCTAGGAAACGCTTTCTTGGAACAATACATATATGATGTAAAGCACCTACTAGGTTGCTCTGAAATGGTTCAAGCTCATCCTGGGGCAAGGGAATTCATCTACTGGGGAGAAAATAATGACCAAGTTTGAAACTTTACTCCATTTTGCTCCGCTGTTGTAAGGGCAAGGATCAGTGGCTTGGTAATTTGACTTCTCTTAGGAGTCGGCTTAGTCTCCGATCTGTCGTAGCTTCCTGTCATATACATGTTATACTGCCTGCTTGTGAGCCATAGCCAAAACGTTTTGGCTGGGCTGTAGGCTCATTCAGCCTCAACTAATAAAAATGAAACTGTTCACTTCCATGCTGTGGCATTCTGTTTTATGCAAGTGAAACAAGTTGCATAGAGGGCTGGATGTTGATGCTGGCGTACTACATGTATCACGCATGAGTGGAACTGGTGGGGGTTGATAGGCCTATCCCAAATATAGAACATAAACACCTCATGAAACTGTTGCCTTGTTCATTTCCATGTTTTATTCTGAATACATATGTATGTATACACATTCTAGTACATTCTTATACCCATAATAATTCTGAACCTACTGATTGATTCAGTGTCGGATCTACTGACCTCCACACTAACTGGACTAGCTGAAATTGTTTATGCACTGAAGTAGCTGTCCATTTTTGCTCCTCGTTGACCCATGTAGTACTTAAGAGGCTTTTTTTATAAGTGCTACGCTGTTTTAGAAGTTTGACCAGACGAAAATGCAAACAAACGTCTATTGATTATAATCACGGACTGCAGTTGAAACACTTCTTTTAGCATTGCATCAGGATGTAACATTCCAGCGGTATGAGGAAACAAACTTGTTGCAATTCACTGTAGAGGTCATGGGGTCAAATCTTAGTGACTACCAGCAGTCACTTTACGAGGAAGCAGTACTAAGTTGTACATAACTTGGAAGACTAGCATACGGTTACAGCTCACTGAACAAGAACAATTTTTTAGAGCAACAAATCAAGAGTATAGTGCTTGTCGATATGACCATCCTCGCAGTTTTGAGTATACACGTATGTGACAATTTGGTTACATCAATTCGCTCTCTGAATCTCTTGGCAACGATACCTACACAAAAGTAATTTTTTTTTACTGATTTGAACATTCAGGTCTTATTTATATAAAGAGCTAAAACGAAGCATTTTTTTAAATATGAGAATGATTTAAAATAACCTGACAGGAATATGAGAATGATTTAAAATAACTTGCAGCTGTCAGTTTTTTCTTTTCCAAATGCAAAATAGTATTTTCGTCCTGTGTAAAACACAGCAACGAAGAGCCGAGAACGATATGGTCGATTTTTGAAGATTTAAGTAATTCAGTGTCAGGTCTATTTTTCTGTTTTCTCCATCTTGGTTTTTCATGTACGATTAATTGTACCATCTCGATTATACGTCATTTTATGATATATTTTTGCCGTCTTTCGCCGTATTAACCCATTTCCCGTCCCGAGTTTGCTTTCACTGGCATTCGGATTTTGCTCGTAATTTCTCGGCAATCCTTTGGCTAGGCTATGACCAATTACATAATACATGCAGAGAGCTGAGATGTCGCACAGGTTATTCTCACCGTCCATGTTATTGCAGTGCGTGTTCCATCTCACCGAGACTTACTCAGTATTTCTTCAAGAGCTATATATAAGTATATACATGTATGGTTTTTCGCCACAGCTTTGTTCACACAAAGCTTGTTGATTGTTGGTTAATTAAACAGGGTCATACTGGAAGAGGAATTTACAAAGAGCTGCAGTTATTTGTAAAGAAATGCGGCCTCATTCGGGTAAAAAGTTACTCTGCTGTAACCTTTTAAACTCTTTTCATTCAGTGCATGGGTAACAGTGGTTAAAAATTTACTATAAGAATACTACGTGTACGACAATGGAAGTTAGAACAAGTCCTGATGGTAGCTGTTATTAAACGTTACATGTACTCACAAGACGTGTAAATAGGAATGTACGAAATGGAATTCTAGGAAGTTGGAGCAAGTCTTGATGGTAGCTGTTATTAAACGTTACATGTACTCACAAGACGTGTACGTAGAATGTACGAAATGGAATTCTTGGAAGTTAGAGCAGGTCCTGACGGTAGCTGTTATAAAAGTTACATGTATTCACAAGACGTGTACATGTATAATGACAAGTAGAAAACGATATCAGCATTCGAGAGGATAATACAGAGGACAAGGAGCTGGTTGTGCTTGTGGATTGTACTTGCGACAATTGTTATCTACCGCTTCGGTTAATTATTGTGACGTGCAAACGGTAAAAGAAAATGGCTTATTGGCGAAAAACCCGATTCTTACGCAGCCATAATAGGGCAGTTCTGTCTGGCTAATTGCTCCGGGCATTTGAAGGAACTGTAGTTGATGTCTTAAATGTCTTCTCGTGAGAGGGAATCGGAATAGTCATTTGAAATAATAAACAACAAAGCTTTCTCATTCTCCTACAGTCTTCATTATTATTATTTCAAGTAAGTCTTCAGCTAAGGATTGGAGTTTTAATACTGCCATTTAAATGTATTGAAAGCCAGGCACGATGTACTCTTATAATTGATTGACAGTCACTGGCTCGTGTGTTACTGGACCCCTTTCACTGTACGCTTATGATTGGTTCGTCCTCACCCTGAGTGGAACCATAGGTGACCTGACTTCCTGTAGGCGAGTCTGTCATAAGAGGGGAGACGTCCCTAGGTTGATTGTCTCGCATTGGACGATGTTGTCGTCTCTTGGACCGGGACCGGCAAGTTATTACTGCAACTTGCACCACCACGACACAGACTAGCGTTACCACTACGGTAATGGCAGCGACGGCCCCTCCCGGGAGAGACGCCCCGTTGCTTGATGATTTTGCTTGGGAGTTAGGTCCATAACTCATTTCTTGTTGGGAGGATGTCATGTCGAAGCTACTGTTGGTGAGCAGCTTCCACATCGATCCGTCGTTCGTGAGCATGACCTCATCACCCTCGGGGTTTTTAGGCTGTGGGGCTGGCATGAAGGGTGGCCTATTGACTAAGGGCAAGGAGGCTGAGGAGAGTGCGCCGGACTTGATGCAGTAGTTGATTTCACATCCATCGTCTACCATCGCCAGATGTTGGCTGTAGCCCTTGGGACAGCCGTGAGGCCATGAGGTCGGTCCAGATTGCTCCATGAAGCTCGCTAAGCTCATTGTTCCCTGGGGCAGACTACGGCGGTTCTGACTGCTGCTTTCTGCCTGCCTGACCATAAGAGGATTGCCAGACCTGCAGCTATAGAAGCCTCCAAAGGGGAGGGAGTACTCGAAGCCAAGCTCGTAGTCATCGCTGACGCAGACCGTCAGATCAGAGAGTATTTTGAGAGGGTAGAACTCGGCAGGACAGCTGAGAGACTGTGTCAAGGGGTTGGATACCTTAGACGTATAGACACCTCCGAACAGAAAGCCAGATTGTTGAGGAAGCTGACCTTCAGCCACGCACCAGTAGGCACTGTATCTGGCTGTGCTGTGGTACGTGTTGTCGTGACAGCAATGAGCAAAAATCCAGCAGCGGTGACAGCTGTGCCGGGTGGTAGTGTGTGATCGAGAATCGCTATTTAGCAGGATAGCCTCGTACCCGGGCGGACAGCTGTACCCACCTGTGCGGGGATTCTTCTGTGTCAGCCCAGAGCACAGGTCCTCAATACCTTGCCGTTCGCATGTTTGGTACACTCCCCCAAACGTGTAGTTAGTTAACTTCGGTTGACAGGTGCCGTCGTCCATGTTGGCGATGAAGCTGAAATTGGGGCTGTCCCGTTTGGTACAGCCTTTGTAGACATTGTGCTTGTAGTACAGCTCCACAGCTGCTTTCACACTTTCATACGTTTCGTACACAGTAGATTCAGGAACTTCAGGCAACACTTCTGGAGTGATGACGAAGTACAAAGGATCACCAGACCGATCTAGTGCGACCAGGTTATTCTCCATACCTGCCGTCCAGTTGTTTGCAGTGTAGTTCTGGGGTTTGAAGACCGGTCCTCCGTAGGTGTTGATTATGGAGGAGGTTCGGCTTTTTTGGTACTCGTCAATCATAGTCTTGGTGGTCGTGGTTTCGCTGCCAAGGCCAAAGTTGAAGACTTTGAAGAAGGAGGCGCTGGCGGAGGCCTTGACTTGAGTAGTCTCGGAGGAGTATTTGCGGACATAGCTGGACAAGACTTGGTCTTCCATAGTCAAAGCAGCACCGACATCAATGCTAGTCACCACATGGGTGCCAAAGTCTCGCACAAGAAGCTGACTCTCGTAGGTTGCCATTTGAGTCATGTTAAGTTCGTGATGGGCTGCAATTTTGAGAAGGCGGGTCTTGAATGCCTTGTGAAGGGGCGTGTCGGGTTGGAGCTTTGCTGTATAACGGACGTAACGGGCCTGAACAAAAACAGAAGGAACGGACAGGATTTTTCATTAAACAGGCATTATGTGCAGTACGATAAACTGGTTTTGAACTGGGTAGTCAATCCCGCAAAGTTCTACGTTTGTGCTGTTACGGTACACTGTAAAAAAGGTTGGGCATATTTTTAGCAACTTTTGCCCTAACTTGGTGACTGTAAATATCAACTTCCCAACTTCTGGTCACAAAGGTGTCTTAACTGTTGGGTTAATCTTTCGGAGAATGACCAGCAGTTATTCTACAAAAGACTAACATCTGGACAATGTACAGTAGCTTTGCCCAACGTTTGGCCCAACGCTATAAGACGCTTCCAATAATTGGGAGAACGAGTAACGGTAGCAGTTAAACCCCGGCCCTGACGTCAGTGTTATGAAGCGCTTCCCACAAAAGTCCCACAAGATCGCTCGACGAAGAGCACGAAAAGATACACTCTAAAACCTCCCGGGTCAGATTGACCCAAAATTGGGTCCCATTCGGCATGACCCTTTTCTAGGTCAAAAATCCCCCCCCCCCTTTCAGGTTGTATTTGACCCTTTCTGGGTCATACTTTGACCCAGAAAGTGGGTCCAGGCGACTCAAAACTACAAATTGTTTTGAGAAGCTCCCCTGCGAAAGTCGTGATAACCCTAGATCATTTTTGGTCACAGTAATAAAATGTGATTGTGAAGAACTCGTTACACGAAAATTTTGTTAGGTTGTAACTTCTAGTGAAACATCCGTAAGTCTTTATTCGTTTTAAAGACGGAAATGAAAATAGTATACCATATCAGTGGCAACAAGTTGCAACAACAAAAGATCCGAACAGTAAACATTAACAATAACAAAGAACAAACACAGTCCAAAAGTAGAACCGAGCGTGGTTTTGGGTAATCTTATATTTTTTACTCTTGGTGTAAAAATCTCATTTGCTGCCTCACCTGGACTCGAACTGTATCTGAACTTTCGCGATATTCTTGTGACTTGACACTCCTGTACTCATCTGAGAATGTCCCGCTGATACCAAAGTGACCAATGTTGAGTCCAGCGTGGGCGTTGATGCTACGAGACAGCGTGGATGTGTAGTTGCTCCAATGGGTGAAGAGCTCGGCGAAAGTGTCGACTTTGCTAGACTTGACGGGGATAATGTACGTGCCGTCTGGTATCAGAAACTGTCTGTCCTCTGCGAAGAAACCAGTGTCGAAGTGGTTGAGTTTAAGAGTTCAATCCCCTGTCGTCGTAATATGACATAATATAAAAAATCCCTCAGGTAGACGGTTAGTATATTATACTGACCGTCTACCTAAGGGATTTTTTTTTCAAATTGTTTGCGTGCCGACCTCACGACCTGGTTCCCTTTTATATTTCAATGTGCCAGGACCTATTTATAATTCGTTATTACTTTTGTCATTCGTCACCACGGCCATCCCCATTATAGACACATTCAGCACTTGCATCGCAGTTACTAAAGACCAGAGGCGAAACAAGGGTCCAGAAAGTGCCTGATATTGGGGAATGGCTCATGGGATGTGGTTATGCCAGCATGGTCAAAGCATAACACTTATTTGGGTCTGCTAAGTCTGCGTGCACGCGCCTTTTAATGTCATTCACTACGATTAATGATTTGCATTCATGTAATTTTTCATTATCTGCACATAAAGACGCAAGTTTAAATTGCTTTCATGGAACATTCTAGAAATAATACAAATACTATAACAGCAAACCATTTGAAGTTTTCAGCTCAGGCTCGAATAACCTCTGCCAGTTCCTTGGTTGAGACATGAAAACACATTCCAGCTATTTTCCATTTCCCACGATGTTCCCACAAAGGGCCAAGGGGGGGGCAGAGGCCATTCATGCTCCCCAAAACTTGAAGGGGTCTAATTTTTTTATAGAAGTATTACGAAAGGTTATTTGTTTAGTCTTTTTTATTTTTATATATATATATGAAAAGTTTATTGAAACCCTGAACATAAAGATTGATTTATTTCTTCCGGTTTAAAGAGTCAAAATTCATACTACTGATAAACCCTGGATGACTCCACAAATCAAAAGCTTAATTAAATCACGGCAGGTAGCTTTTCATTGTAATGATATGGTCTCTTGGAGGAGATTGCGAACAAAGATTATAGCATGGCTGTGGCTGTAAGTGGTAGTTTCGAAAATCCCTTTAAACACACCCATATGAAGACTGATATTGCCTCCCATAAATCAATTGGAGGCTAGAGGTCAGCTGGCCAGTCCTCAAAGTGGTCTATGAATATACTTCGTAAAACTCCCCTGTGAACGGTGAAGTTCTTGGCCACGTTGGCACACTGAAAATCTTCAAGTTGGGGCAACACTACATATTATCAGCATGTCAAGCCCTCATCTACTGGTGCACTTCGAGATTTCGATGTAATCTTTGCCAGTACCTTTTCACTTGATGGTAAGAAAAACTCCCTTCATTGGTTTATTATGGTTAAGATAGATGCTTATTATATTTATTGTGTATTTCTTGCAGAATTTGTTACTTTAAGAAACCACATCTGAGTTAGTATTTGACCCAAACACTGAACTTAAGTAGTGCACTGTGTGTCATGTAGTGAGACTTTAGGTACTTCATTTTCTGTTTTGTTTAGATCTTACAATGCACATGGAGCTGCCATTTTGAGTATATGTGCGTTATAAGGCTGGACAATAGGCGTAAACGGTATATGATATTGATCTGTACTAATATTTACAATTGTGTTTTGTTGATGGTTTAATTAGTACTCTGCGTCATTAAGTTTCTGGCCTTCGTATGTTGAATAACGCTTTAAGTTTTCATTGGCTTTCCAAGTGTTGCATTTAAGATAATCTTTGTGAATGTTACTTCATAGTTTGCAATCATCGCTGATTTCATTTCCATTTGTGTAGACTTTAATGTTTTATGAATTTTGAGCACCTATCAATCTATAATGTTAACTTCGATTGTATTTGTGGTCATGCTTCTTGTTTCTTTGAATTCCTAGGGAGCTTTAGTCTTTAATTTCTCTAGATATTCCCATGTACTTTTAATTCACAACAAGCTGTCCTTTAGATTTATACAATTTTTGTGTATTTTATATCTTTTACATGTAGTTTTCACAGTGATTTGGAGCCTGAATAACACCAATGCTTCAAACATCAGTAGAAGCTTACGTCCAAATTCCATAATTTATCAACCAGCCTCAATCCGTGCGCTTTAGTGCACCACAGTGGCAAAGAAACAGTATTATGCCACTCGGGTCGCAAAACTCAAACTGAGTAAACCATCGGCTTGGTTTCACCGAATCCGCATGATTACTGGTAATAATAAAGACCATCCGTCAATACATGATCTAGGAGTTGACCCAGATAATGTGTTCATGGTGGGCATCTACTATTAATGAACATTTTGTTTCAGTTACTTCAAATATGGATTGCATTGACCTTAGTAGTCTCCCGGCTTATTTACCCGCTTCCCAACCTTGCCCGTATTTATATCCATGTGAAGTTTGTAAGTCACTTCAAACCATTAAACTGTCTACAGCTGGTGGGCCTGACAATATCACAGCTCGGTTTATCAATTATTTTGCCGTTGAACTTGCTACTCCCCTGTCTCACATTTTTAATAAATCCTTCCAACAAGGAACAGTGCCCAATGCGTGGAAACGAGCTATTGTGATACCCATACCCAAGTCTAGCCCACCTTCTGTAGACAAGTTGAGACCGATATCTCTGACTAACCACTTTGGTTAGTTTGGCTCAGTTTGGAAAAAATTTCTCAACAAATCGTTATTTGATCAATATGCTTAACCTACTGTATCGAAATGCTGACATATCTAGATCATTTGCTACTGTGACTACCACAGATTTTTCGACAGCATTTGATAGGATCAATCACACATTAGTGTTGAATAAGTTAATTCATTTGGAAGTTCGCCCCTCTATCATTCCATGGATAGCTGACTTTTTAACCTCTAGAGAGCAGTGTGTTCGTTACCTTTCAATATGCTCCAGTTGGTTGACCTTAAATGCCGGAGTCCCACAAGGAACCAAACTTGGCCTTATTTTATTTTTTAGTTATGATCAATGATGTAAAACCCCCGGGTGATAATCTTGCTGTGTTCAAATATGTTAATGATTTATCGATTGTTGAGTGTAGACCATCTTCGCAGAAATCTTGCTCGCAGGACGCCATTGACAGCCTTACTAATTGGTCGATGCAAAACAGCATGAAATTAAACCCTAGTAAGTGCTTTCAGATGAATGTTGACTTCTCCAGAAACAGTCCCGTAATGCCTATTGTTTCTATTGATGACCATGATCTCTGATCTCTGTAGGTTTTGGGGGTTATTATTCAAAGTGGTCTTAACTGGGATCAAAATGTGGACAGCATTGTCAAACGTGCTAATAGTAAAATCCATATGTTAAGGGTTCTCAGAGGTTACGGCTTGCCTCATAGTGATCTCAAAACTCTGTATAAAAGCTTCATCGGGACATTGATGAAATATGCAGCTCCTGTGTGGAATGGAGCACTTACCCGGCACCAGGTGACTCGGCTTGAAAGAGTACAGAAACGTGCCTTGAAGGTTATTCTTATAGTAGAGTATTTGTCATACACCCAAGTTTTATCGCATTTCAATTTAGATTCTTTGGCAATCAGGCGTAATCAAATATCATTATCCTTTTTCAAGAAAACCCTTGACCACACTGACCTTTTTCGTGAATTCTTTCCGCCTCAACATACACGAATGTTGCGGAATAAACCATTCATCCCTGAAATCCGTTGCCGCACAAAACGTTATTTCACCAGTGTGCTTCCTACCTTAATCCGGTTGCATAACAAATATGGGAAGGAATGCCCCTCTATTAAG